TTGCCTACTATGTCACAAGTCAATATATTCGCAATTGCCAAATACAGATCTCATATCTACCGCAATATGTTTTTTATTTTTTTTGGTATAGGGACCTTCCGGTTTCCGGATTCACATGGGAACCGACTAATCCGGAATCGAGTCGGGTAGGACCACAAGGGCGGCAAAGCTCTCCCTCAAGAGTTTTAACACTGATGCATTCCCAGGGCTCGAACACGAGACCACTGGTTAAGCTGAAAGAGACCCAAGCCATCTCATCCAAGCGCTCTTACTGTCAAATTTATTTTATGTTATTTTTTAAAAATTTATTTATGTTTTGCATAATTATTAACTATTTGATTTGGATATACGTTCATAAATACGACAAAATCTTGCAGGTCAATTACACATCTCATTTGGATAAACGATTTTTATATCACATATAACAATGTTAAAAAAAAAAGTTGGATTGCAATTTAAAAGAAATTTGATTACAAATCCACTCTTAAACAAAGTCTACACTATGTCCGGATGTGTGGGAAATTTCACTCCCTCCTGCCAAATCCACAACAGCAATATATTTAATTATTTTGTCTAAATATCATTCTAGATATAACTAAAATTAAGTTAAAAAAAAATGACCAAAAATTTTAATTTTATTCAAATAATATTTAGTATTTATTAATTTTAAGTAATAAGATGTAAATATTATGCAACTGGTCAACCACATTTTATGGTGTTTTATTCCTATCTCCACCTTCCAACCATTGAAATCACCGCCCTACATTATGTAATTCATTTCTAAAGTCGTAGAAAATAGTTTAGAATATCTAATGATAAAAATTTCTAATCTAAGTCATATATTTATGTAATTCATTTAGAAATCTTATAAATGTGAAAACAAATAAAAAATAGTTTAGAATATCTAATGATAAAGATTTCTATTCTATGTCATTTATATCTATACTTATATAAAGAGTCATCCTATTTATTAAAATTAGTAGCAAAAAATAGGTCAGCATTAAATGCAGTTCATAAATAGTAGTTTTATTTTTTTTTTCTTTAAAAATCATATATTTTAATTTATAAATACGCTCTAATGTAATTATACAATTTAATTAAAATAATAATTAAATATAGAATCTATATTTATATAATAGATCAATCCTTATTGCCATTATTGGCATGTTTTTGGGCGGAAATTTTTTTTTGTCTATATTTGACATTTAATTAATATTTCTTTATTAGCAAATCTTATGCACACAAACTTATTTAGTTTTTAATATTCAGTGACTATTACTCATTAATTATAAACTAGTTTAAATTGAAATTTTGACCGTAGATTTATTAGATATGATTTCAATAAGCCTTATATTAATTTAACAGTAATTTGATATGATTTACAAAATTATTATGGGAATTTATTTGATTAAATATATTATCATCTATAGTTGTAGGTTTTAATTTAATAAATTATATTCACTATTCAGATGTACTTAAAATACTTAATAATATAACTAGAATAACTATGTTTAAATATACTAACTTAATATATATTTAAAATATTAATAAAAATTTCTAAAATATAGTCAATTTAACTATAAAAAGGTACGTCCCCATTGAATATATCATATGCAGTGATAATACTATTGAAAATTTAAATAATATACTAATAACAAAAATTTGATGGTCACGTGCAATTCAGAATTATAAATTTCACCTAAGAAGTATCTATGTACATTAAAAAACTATTTAATTTTTAAAAATATATATATTTTTTTTTCTTATATACTCTTTTATAATGAAAATAAGTTACTAAAATAGCAATGCATAATACTTTAAATTATAGCACTTGGTAATTATGAAAATATATAATATATCTAAATATTCGAATAGATACAATGTAACTCATTATGTAGGTTGAAAAAAAATGAATTAAATAAATAAATATAAATAAAAAATGAAAACATAAAAAATAAAAAATTTAACCATGATTTTGTGTGTTGGATAATGATTAAAGTTAGTGAAAATTAAAATTTATCTATCAAAGTTTTGAACATTTAATGTACTTAGTCATTATAGCGGAAGATAAATATTATGGGTTAAACGTTGGTCAATTATCAAGTAATGTTTAAATTATGAATTGTTGAAAATATTATAAGATTGTGATAGACGACAATTTTATAAGTACATTCAAGTAATTTGTATGTAAATTTCATATAATCTTATACATTTATAATATTTTATAAATTATAAATAATAAATATTATATATTAATAGTCAGAAGATACAATATATATATAAATAGAAATTAACAATAATAGTAAATAAATAAATGTCATATTATTATTGAATAGAATATTGTGGAGACTATTCATATTGTCTTAAATAATTTTATAATATTAAAATAAAAAATATTTTTTGTAATGTACACGTGCATCGCACGGGTATCAACACTAGTGGTGAACAAGAATAAGTAAAAATGTTACTTTCTCTTATATCAAGAGATAAATTTATATGCTAAAATTAAGTTTTTATTAGTATAAATATTTTATTGAGATAATATATTAATTATTTTACAAGCTAGCCATAGCATGCTCATATTTAATGTTCTGGCTAAAAATACAACGCTGGTTAAAAGATTTGGAAAAAAGCTTATAACCTAATTATTTTTTAGACTTAACCTTGATTAAAAGAGGTAGAAAATAGATAAACCCTATTACTTTTTAGACTTAAATGGACAAGACTGTAAAAATAACTCATTTAATATCTCTGTCAGATGTGGAAAAAAGTTTATAACCTTATTGTTTTTTAGACTTAACGTTGATAAAATATGTAGAAAATAGATAATAACCCTATTACTTTTTAGACTTAAATGGACAAAACTGTGAAAATAAAAGTTTATAACCCTATTGTTTTTTAGACTTAACGTTGATAAAATATGTAGAAAATAGGTAATAATCTTATTACTTTTGAGACTTAAACGGACAATACTGTAAAAATAACTCATTTAATATATATGTTCTGTGCATCGCACGAGGTACGTACTAGTTTATGCATAAAGAAGGAACGTTTTGCTCAGTTATTAACAAATGTATAAAATTGTAAAATAAATAGCATGTCTTTATTTATATAATTCCTAATTTTATTAAAACTAACTAAAAAATTATTTTAGCAAGAAGGAAAAGTCATTTTTAAATAGTTTAACAATTTTTTTTTTTTTATTCTTATTTGTAAATGATAAATTTTAATAACAAGTAATTGTGTTATGGTCTGATCGTTAAAAAAAAATCGTAATATATATATATTTTCAAAATTTAACTCCTTCATCGAGAAATTTATTACAATTTCTGCTTTCATTCATGATTAACTCTACATCCTGAAAATTTCACCTAATATCGTCATGTTACAGAAGAACATGGAATTCAGCAAACAAAATCGACAATAAACGAATCATCTCGATTAAATTAGGGGGCACATAACTATCATATTATACAGTGTTACATTTTCTTTCCTTTTTTTGCACATAATTGTAATACTAACTCATACATGTTACATAACTAACAACATGAGAAAATTATTATTATCAACATTATTCAATAAAACTATTCAAGAAAAATAAAATTTTTCTACCTTTCACTGATAATTAGTCGTCAATTTCAAGCACGGTCATCAATCATATGACTCGGGACTTCATTTTGACCGTCGAGGGGCATGTATTGTGCCATAATTGCCCTGATCTCTGAGTCCATATACGACTGGCCAAATGTCATGAAACAAATTGTTGTCTTAATGAAATGAAACAAAGAACATAAACAATATAGGATTATTACCAAAAGCTACTTAGATGTTTAGCCTAATTACAAAATCCTCCGATTAACTTCCAAAAACTACACACAAGCCCCTTAAAAGTATAAAAAACACACATTGAACTTTTCTATTTCACCAAGTAAATAACACTTTTGAGAGTGCAATTTGTAGAAGGAAGACAAGTATCAACTAGGCAGTTTTATTTCTTGAAATAACTAGGTTTTTTTTTTAGATTAAGTCAAACTTCAGGGGTGATTCTGTAATTAACCTTCCAACAGAATAATCCGAAAACGGATATAAATGTCGAAACTTACCCTCAACCGATATTTATATATAAGATATGCACCCCCAGAGGCCATAGCTAACCCGAGCAGAATAATCCAAACGGCTGTCCAAGAGGACCTCAGTTCAGCAGTCCTCTTACCTAATACAAAAGTAGTAAAAAACAAATAGTCGATTAGTGTGTGTGTGTGTGTGTGTGTATACATATAGATAAATTAGAAAAAAAAATTACAAAACGAACTTATGCAAGTATCATGGTCCCTCATATACAAAAGGTCCCCACTGCAAGTGCACTCATAACTGCCCCAAGTATTCTTGCAGCTGCATTCGGGACATTGACAAACTTTCCTCTCCTTGCATTCATCAATATCTGTATCGAGAAGAAAGGAGTAAGCAAAAAAAGAAAAACAAAAAAGAAAAAAAAAAAATGATTTTTTTTTAATATCACCCTCGATTTTCTCGTGGTGCTTGATTATTCAGTTCGAGACTTTAATTTACCTTCACAGCTATTAACACCATCACCTTTAAGTCCTGGAGGGCATTGACATTTTCCCTCCTCAGTATCCTGTTCGAAAAATATCAAAAAATGACTATAGTGTCCTTTTAGCTTTTGGATTTATAACAACATAAAAAGTTGTAAAATAACAATGGCTACCCACACAAGCAGTGTAAGTTATCCCGTTCCTCTTATCATGCCAACAGCCTCCATTGTTTATTTTGCACCGCCCGGGCCCACTTGCTGCATGTAAAAAAAAGATTTATTTTCCGAATTAACATTAGCTAATCAAAAGATTTGTAGGAGAATGTGAATTAATTACATACCAACACAAGAACTGTAACCATCTCCCTTAAATTGCACACCGTTGACTAAAGGGCATTCACAAACTCGTCCTCTAAAAGTATCCTAAAAATGCATAACAAAAATGTAAGACAAATATAGCTTTGTTTTAAAAAAATATGTGAATTTATAAAGTAAATAACCTTGCAAGCTGTAATGTTAGCAATTTTGTCTTCCCAACAACCACCATTATTGTTCAAGCACTCGTTCGTCTGTACATCTTCACACAAAGAGTTCAGATATAAGCTCATGCTACTCAACCATAGAAATAAATCAGAAAAATAAATAAATAAATAAAATAATAACAATAATAATAATAATAATAATAATAATAATAATAATAATAATAATAATAATAACAATAGTAAGACAATATTGCATATAAAGGCACCACCTTAAGGCTTTTGTAATTTAATACCACCTTTTGCTATTTGCATTTAAATCACCACCTTTCAAATGTTTTGCAAATCAAAGCATAAACTTAAATCACCACCTTTCAAATGTCTACGTGGATGACTTGGTACAGACGGAAAATCTAACTAAAAGAAGTTAAATTCATGATTCGATCTGCAAAACATATGATGCAAAACATATGAAAGGTGGTAATTTAAACACAAATAGAAAGGTGGTGATTAAACACAAATAGCAAAATGTGGTGAATTAAATAGCAAAAACCTTAAAGGTTTAGTGCCTTTATATGCAATTTTGCCTTATAATAGTAACACATACCATCACCAAGACAAACTGATGGCTCAGTAGTTTCCTCAAAACCAGCACATATAGCCTTCAAGACGGCACCTTTCTCCAATTTCCCTACGAAACAAGAAAACCACATCAGAGGCAAATCATATTTTAACATGATTTCTATGTGAATTGACACATAATAAATAATTAACCCAACAGACCTCGATATTGATGATTATTCACGACAAGGGTTGGTAAAATTGTTACATCTCCACGCGAACCTTTCCCAATCTACACATTTCTCTTTCCAGTCACTTTACATAATTATTCAAAACAAAAACAAAAATAAAAAAATAAAAAAGATACTCACCTGAGCATCCTGCTCCTCTTTCAATACGGGATTATCCGAATCAGCATTCGGATCGCCCATACATCTTTCGATTTTCTTCAGATCCAGCCCTGTTACCAAATCCAACAAACATTAAGACACAATCCAAACCGACACATGAACAAAGAAAAGGCGTCAAAAAAAAAAAAAAAAATTACCCAGAGATTTAACAACACTCTTGGCACACTCTCCATTATACTTCTTCTCCTTCATTGGGCACCGAATATGAAAATCCGTAACATAATCCCACCAAACCCATGCCTTGTTATCCTCCTTAGCTGCCCTAAACACACAAAGCTGCCTCAAATTCTCAAGCACAACATCCTTCCCATCATATCCAGAGCTAAAATCCTCTTCCGGATCAGGAGCACAGTACCTCCCATTGTTAAGGCACTGAGATTTACACTGCTTGCTCATAGTAAAGGCATGTGGGCAATACCAAGTAATGTAATGAGGCGTAAACTGAGTGTACCCACCCTTTTCAAGAATCTGAGCCGAACCCTTAAAATCTTTTAAGAAATTCATCAGCATATCACATTTGACTCCACACTCGTCATTACTGTTGGTCCAGAGCTCGTATTCAACCCGGTCATCCGGGTGGGGGACAGCCTCACGCCAGTCGAGATTTATGTTGACCATTTCGCCCTTATTGACAGCTGTCTTCAGTTTCTCCCCGAAATCTTTGTCGATGAGTGCAGAAGGGATTGTGATGTTGGCGATGTATTCGGCAGACGAGCCGCTAGCTTCGGGCGAGTCCATTGTGATCAAAGCTTCATCCCGATTGTCAGCCACTAGGACAGCTGCAGCACCCGCGTTTTGAGCATTCCATACTTTTAGCGCGAAAAAGCAGTCTGTGGAAAGAGGGGCAGTTTGGTAATTAGCCATATATATAGCTCATGTACACCACACAACTCAACATAGAAAACAGAAATCTTTGCTAATTCTGTGTTCTAGTTAAAATTTTTCGGTAGTTGGATAAATAGAGCTACTTTTAGCAGTACTCAGATAAGAAATTCCGTTTAAATATTTAAACGGCTTGTTACTTATAAGCCTAGAAATTCTTTGAATAAACATACCAGACGTTAAGTGAAACTAGAAATTCGATTGAACTTATGAAAGAGTAAGATTAAAAATTAACAAATGTAATCAGTAAAATCATTCAAGACTAAGAATTCCTTGAACAAACTGAATTAGCAACTGACAATGTCATGAATTACAAAGAGTACGAACTTAAGAAATTACCATCACAACAAAATAAAGCCTACACACCAAAATTCCAAAGAGCGAATTAACGCATCCGAGATAGAATCTACGGTGTACATGAAAAGAAAGATATACGAACTTCTCGACAGAGTATCAGTCGAAGCCACACCATTTACCTCCAACAAAACCCTTAACCAACTTAAAGTGAACAAACGTCAACTTAAAGACACAACAAGCTAATCAACTAGGTAGGCATCAAGACTAGTAATTTCTCCTAAATTGCAGCCACACAGACTGTACGAAGCCTTCAGGACCCCAAAACAAATTGTGCAAAATTTAAAATAAATAAATAAATAAATTAGACAAAAATATGTACCTCCACGATCAACAAGAACAAAATTAGGCATAGCCCCAGGTTTAGCCTTGAAAGAAACCCCAGTATCACCAAAGCTTTTGCACCCTTTTTCATTATCCTTTGGATAAACCACAGTCCCGGCCATGCTTCCCCCGTACTGTGGGATACCAAAATTGCCAATGGCGCTATCATAAGTCCCTTTTATGCTCTCAGGAGATGTTACCCTCAAGCTGTTGCGCTCCACTACGAATCGCCCCACCACTAATTCAGAAGAAATTAGCAGCAAAAACCCCAGCAAGATTGCAACTTTTGAAGTTTTAAAGCGCCCCATTGAACTACAGGACGATTAATGGAGGAAAAAAAGGAGAGAAGCCCAGATGATTTTTTAGGGTTCGTTTCGCGTTACTGGTTCTTGAGTTGTAGTGGAACTTCACTTGAAGAGATTTGAAGAGATTTTTTTCTGTTGGCCCTGAAAACTTTGTTTGCGGAGAATCACAGGCGAACGTTCTCTAGAGATAAAACATGTGGAAAATTGGCTTTTTATTTATTTGGAGAAAAAATTGTAATAATTATTGTATAGTCTACATCAAGGTACCCATCATATTTTTCCAACAAGTTATATGTTTGGAATAATATATTAAAATTTATTTAAATATTATATTGAAGGGTAATATTACGGGTTACGGTATCATTTTGTCGAGTTATAATAGTTAGATTAACTATTCTGACGGTTACACAATAATTCAACGATTATAAACCTCGGCAGAATAATTCCGTAACGCGATAGTAACATCTTCCTACATTTGATTGTAAGTATAGATTTTGTTTGAAATCAATTACTATATAAAGTGAGAGAAAGAGACAGCGCATATCTCTTTATGAATTGCATTTCATTTGCTTTTTGTTAAGGATGATAAATAAATATTATTTTTATAGAAAAAGATATATCAATCTCATGACTTTATCCAAATTCCTTGTTTAGATCACATGACTCTTGTCCTTTTTTTTTCAATTAATTTTCCCTAAGACATTTGATTGGTGTATCTTTTTGGCTTTCAAAACAACTTGAGGCACAATAAATAGAAATGGTAGCATAGCATTATTATCTTTTGCCAATCTATCTAAATAACCGAATTATCATAATTTAAATATTAGGTTATCTAGAGATTCGTGGTTGCAAGGCACATACAGCACATTCTTATGTCCATGGAAGCTACGAGTTAATATTACCCGTCAATTGATATGGTTATGTTCATGGTAGCTACGAGTTAATATGACCCATCAATTGATACGACATAACCATTAAAGTAAAATACTAAAATAGAGAAGAGAACCCAATCACACAACAATCAAATTGTGATGGTATTTTAATTGGGATTTTGAAGCACTAAATAAAAATGTAAAATATAGAAAAATGAAATAAAAGAGCAATAGAAAAAGGAAAGTCAAAACACACAAGACGATGTCAATAATGGCACATCAAAAAGAGGCCAAAGAGACACGTGAAACATCTTCTTTTTTTTTTTTCTTCATTCTTGATAAGTATTTTAGTGGACCAACAAAATGGACCATATACTTTTGTGATGGGCCCAGCCCGCTCACCATCGTCCACCAATATACTACATCTACATGGTCCTAAGTCCTAACTTTAAGAAAAAATAAATAAATAAATAAGAAGAAGAAGAATATGATAATCATGATTAGGATTGCTCATCGTTCGTTATAATCATGATTAGGGCTAATCGTGTAGGGAACTTTATCGGAAAAAAGAAAATAAGATGACTATAATATATAATACCGAGGCCTGTGATAACACAGTGTCCTTAAAACAGATTCGCCCCGTATGAGCGTCTGTTTCCCAGGATA